TGCGTCGAGACGGGACACGAGCGCGCGGGAGAAGCAGACGAACTAGCGATTGAAAGCGCGCGATCATGCACCGAAGCTGAAGGATGAAGTTAGCGACAGATGCGTGGGGCCGATGAGATTGATGGGAGATGATCGGGGGATGCAGGGCATACGCGAAGAGGGATCAGCAACTCACCCGGGCAGCTAAATATAGGGATGTAGGACAGGCGCTCACCGCTGAATCCGCTTCCTTCCCAGCGCTGCTGTCGAACGAGAAGAGCGAGCGCGGCCGCAGCACGTGTGCCGGAATCTTGATCTGCGGGCAGCTGTGCGTGTGAGGGCGCGGATGAAGGTGATGATGAGCTTTACAATGCGCGTGTTGTAGCGGACATCTTACCCGTGTGCCCGCCGTCTGCACGTCATGGCCCGCTGGCTTACCCAAGTCGTCTGGCCGTGACGATGCGGACGACCCATGTCGTCGTTGCCGCAATGAGAGCGGGAGGATGCAGTCGTCGTCGTGGGCGGGTGTGAGATGCCGCAGAACAGGGACAGCACGCACGAGCTAGGTCCCTCGCCGTTGAGTTGTGCGCCCGGCGCACTCTGACGGCGCAGCCTATGCGCGGATAGTCCATGATGCGCGCACAGCGCTGGCTGCACGTAGGCGCGGTCGGGGGCAGTCGTCTGGATGCGCGGCAGTCGTGGGGCAAGCGCGGCGAGGCGAGGCGGTTTGCAGGCGAATGTTGGAAGCCATATGTCCGAGTAGATAGTCACCGGGCAGCTGAGTAATTTACAGTGCACAATATGAATGTATCCTGTGAGGGAAAAGACGGCAGTGGTGTCAGCGAGACGGCGCAGTACAGAGGCGGGATGCACGCACTAGATCGCCCCGCCGCTATGATGTAAGACGCGGGACCGGCGCAGTTTGATGACGCAAGTGTTGCGGGGCTGATCGCGCGCTGCGAGCTCCCCGTGCTGCTCGGCGCGTGCGCGGGGGACTGACGCTGGGGGTGCGGGTGAGGCCGCTGAGCGCCCACTCGCTGGCGTGCGGGGGCGCATGGACGGCGCAGGCGTTGGCGTGCTGTGGAAAGGGCTCGGAGACGAGCTTGACATTGAAGCCGCGCGAGGCGAGGATGTTCGCGGCGATGTCTTTGAGGGCGGACGCGTCTGCCGTGGGCTGATGGAGGAGGAGGCCGAGCGAGATGACCGGGGGATCGGAGGTGACCATGGGTCAGCGCAGGCACGGACCGCAGGAAGAGTGCGCAGAGGGTACCTAAAGAGGGACAGGTTCTCGACGCCGTCGGCAGAGATGCCGGAGATGAACGCGATCGGACGCGGGACAACGCCGCCCACCATGAGCTGGTACTGTGGGCAGAGCGCTGTCAGCAGCGGCCGGCGCGAGCACACGACAGAGACGTACGATGGCTACAGGAGGCGTACGCGGCGGGCGCGGCAGCGGAAGGGACAGATAGCACGGGTGCGACCATGACAAGCGGGGCCCAGGGACGATGGATAGAATAGGATGGAACCCAGTGGGGGCGCACGCGATACGGCTCGAATGGACACGCGGGCACGCCTGTCTGTGCGCCGTCTCACCCGCTCGCTCGCTCCCCTACGCGACGTGCAGTCCGGATTCTGTTCTTCGCGACGTCCGTGCGCGATGCCTCGCTCGCGCACAGAAATGCACGACATCCTGCATGTCCGTCATCATGCCGCCCTGCCATGACCGGGGCGACGCGCTGTCGGACGACGCCATCAGATGTCCCCGTGCCGACCGCGACCAACGCGCCTGCCGTCTTGGCACCGTCCAAACGCCGCGGAAAGCAACCCGGCGCGCGCGCGCACGACATCCCGTCGGCGGACGCAGGGGTCTCGCCCTGCGCATGGAGGATCTCCCGGGGGCGACGCCGGCCCGCGTGCTGCCCTGCGAGTACGTTGCCAAGCGGACGACTGCCCGCGTCGCGCGCACGGAACACAGGACGCGCGTGCGCACGCGTCCTGCCGTTGGCGGATTCGCCGTGCAGGGATGCACATCTCGTCCGATGGTGGGAGGCGTTGCGGCGACGCGCGGGAAGCCCAGGCGCGCGCCGGCGGCGGAGATGCGCATAGCCCGGGTGTGGGTGTTGCGGGAGGCTACGCGAGCGGCTGCGCTAGGTACGCGGCCGGGCTGGGCGCCGTGCGTGGGTTTGCAACGCAGGAAACGGGTAGCGGGAGGGATATAAGGCCGGGGACGAAGGGGGCCGTCATCTCGTAGTTGTAGATCTGTTGCTATTGTCTGCTATTTGTCTCAATGGTGCCCTAGTGTGTGTACTGACCTCGATGTGTTGCAGGTGCGCGGGCCGACGTTGCAGGAGTCTGAAGGCCCACGACGGTGAGCACGGTCGCAGGCCGCTGTTGTGATGGTCGACGCTGTGCTTACCGTGTGATTGAATTGGCAGTTTGCGGATGCTGGCGCGGGCGCAGGCATGGTGGACGGAGTGCTGCGGGAACGGGGATTTACGCGGTGGCGAGTGTTGCGTAGAGGCTACCGCCCGTCTGCGTTGTATTCCGTGTGCTGTACCGATGTGTGTGTGAGCAGGCCGCTAGATTGTATGCGAACGTGCGGATGCGCGCGCGTGTGCGGGCTGCGGCATGATAGCGGAAGATGCTTCCGCGACGGACAAGAAGGTCAGGCGGGACCCCTGACCGATGCGCGCGGGCGGCGTGTGTGCGCAACTGCAGTAGCGGCGTGAGTAAACGACGGGCTCGCGGGCCCTGACAAGATACGAGCGGGCGCACCTTGAGCTAACGGCGAGCGCGGGCAAAGAGATGGATGGGGCGCACGTACCAGTGCACGCCTCCGCGAGCAGCAAGGGTATACGAGTGCGCTCTATCGACGTTCTGAGCTAGAAACTTGAGCGTTGAGGCGACCCTTGATGACGCCGTGGTACTGGCGCGGCGTGATGTTGAACGTCCCGCTCCCGCGCTCGTCCGCAGCCTGGTCCATGAGGAGTCGCTGCTTGGGCTTGCGCGCGCGGATCATGAATGAGTACGCGGGCTTGACGCCCTGAGCAACCCACACGCTCGTCCTGGGTGTAGTAGTGGGCGTCCTGCGTGCGCGGGGCAGTAGACACCGTCGCCCAGATGGAATGCGCTGCAGCCGCGCGCCCCGGCCGCGGCGACCGTGTTCACGAGCGCACGCCTGTGTTGCGTGCTCTTGCCCTGACCGGGGACGCTCGTCATACCATGTCCGACTCTTCCTTCGCGACGCCCGCGATCGTCGCGCGGGCCGCGGGGCGCTGCATGTTCGCGGTCTGCCCGGTTGTGTACAGCACGGTCAGCGGCGGCGCGTCGATCGCAGTGAGCAGCCCGCGTACGCCTTCTGTGCCCGCGCTGGGGATGCGTACGGCGAGGCGGCGCAAGGCCGATGCAGGAGAAGTGGAGAAACACGCGATCGAGGGATAGTGATCGGGTGTACGCACCTATTTGCACGCCTCTGTGCAGACGATCCACGATAGCGCTTGGATGGCTGAGGGAGGACGGGGAGGCTGCCAAAGACGCAAGCAGAGAGAGCGAGAGCGACCTGGGCGCAGCGCGGTTGGTTATAGAAGATGTTGGTAGGCGGATACTGGGAGAGGGCGCCGGTGTCCGTGATGTCAGCGTCGCCGTCGTGTGTCGCAGTAGAGAGAGGCGAGGACGAGTCGCAGGCAGAGTCAGCAAGGGTCGGAGGACGGCGGGGCTCAGCGCCAGCGCCGCCTGCCTTCCGATCACATCTCAGGTCGCCGACGCCAGATGTGCGACCTCCCTCCCCCAGCTGACGTCATATGCGCGACAGCCCTAACCATCACTTGAAGCGCCGGTCTGCCCGCCTCCTGCGACCTCCGATGGCGACAGTCGTTCAATCCTGGGTCTGCATCCCTGTCCGATTGGCGGCCTTCCCGGGCGTCCTTCGTCACACACCCGTTCTCTCGCAGACTCTCCCGCCTTTTCGCGTCAACTCGCCTGCTTGGTCAGCCTCCTCGCATATGACGCGTATCGCTGCCAAACGCCTCGCCCGCATCCTCTCATCGACGCATCACCCGTGCCCGATCCGTGCAACCCCACTCATCCTCCCACGGCGCAGTCGCGTGATGCGCGAGCACAGCGATGGCTCTGCGAGGAAGCCGTCTCCTGCGGATCTCCTTTCACGATGGTGGGTGATAGTGACCGTGAGGAAACACAGCGCAAAGGATGATTGAACCACGCTATCACAGGTGCACTTCATGCCGAGTCTGCGCTATATCACACTACGATCCTCTGGTTTCGCGTGTGGGCGTTCGGGCAGGGATCGGCACTGAAAGCGGTGTTTGGCCCAGCCCGCATGCGGGGATCTACGTACCAAAGGGACGGCGGGAGCACCGTGCGCGTCCGGTATGGCGACCGCGTCCTGCGCGACCGTGTCCTGTCGCACGACGGGTGCAGACCTTGCACTGTCCCGCACTGCAAGCGCCTGGCTGGCCAGGGCCTGCCGGCACAGCGGCTGCCAGCACAGTCGACTATGGCGCCCCATGATCGCTCTGTTCGAGCAGCCCTGCCTCCTGCGATCGCCGGTGGTGAGGCTTGACAATGCTGCGTATGGCTCCCTCCACCCGACGCATGTCCTGCGGCCCTCGCGCGTCGTGCATCTCTCGCGAATCCCCCCCGCGCATTTCGCTTCCATTCGTCCTCATCGGCATGCCACCTCGCAGATGGCATATGACGTGCTCGCCGACCACTGGCAGCATCCTCGCGTCCCCACGCCTGATCCGCGCAGCCCCCGCCAGCACACCGGTGGCGGCGCGATGACTCTGCGGAAACCTTTCTGCTGGGGCTTTATTTTTCACGCATGTTGGTCGGGAATACCGTCTGTTCGTGCACGGCTACACAGCGCGAGGGAGGGCCGGATCACGCTATCCCTCTGGCTTGCACGCTTGACGCGGGCCCGCGCCGCATCGCGTGAGGCTAGTTGGACATCCTCGGTCACCTCCTCGCCTCGGACGCACTTGCGACAGACACCCCGGGCAGCCAGCGGTGCGCACCGTCCCACGCCCGCCCGCTACGCTTCGACGATGTGGCACTCTGCCAGCAGACTCGTGGCGGTGTCCGCGTATCCAGCTTCCTTGCTCTGTTGTGGACTAGGACCTCTTCTTGTGATCCTCGTGCGCGGGAGCGTCGCCGGGCGACATGGCCGAGCAGGACGCAGAGGGCGATCTTGGGCAGCTAGCTGTCGCTACCGGGCGATCTTCGCGGGATCCTCCACCCTCGGCTCAGGCGATAGCGCCATGGGCACCCATGCCCCCCACCGCCACTTAAAGCGCTATGCTGCCGTACTTAACGCCTAGTATTCGCCGTACTCCATGTTCACTGATGCTGTTGCGCGTGCCCGTATGCCGCCTGCAATACTTTCTGCAAGGACCAGCCCTTGGATGGAGCGCATCGCAGGTGGCCGCTAACCTCAAGGGCGTGATCTACGTCCTTGGCTTCTTTGCTCTCGTGTAAGCAGGTCTGCTGTCCGACGGCGGGCGTCTGGAGCCGTTGCGTGGCCTCTGTGCCGACTCTAGGGCTACTCCACATAGCTGGGCACGATGCAGGTTCGCGTCCGTCTGCTTTTCCATCTCGAGCGACGAGCGACGTGTATGTGCATTTCAGGCCCCTCCATCCTCCTGCCGAAGCACGGCGTACGTTGTATCGTATCAGCCTTCGCACACCTGCCGTGTTCTCCAGCTCCCATACACTGTGAACGATCCCGCGTTGCAACACTACTCCCTCTCCGGCGGTCAGCCGCCCACAGGTACCCCGAGTCCTGCAGATGAGTCGCGCAGGCCCCGTTCCGTGGACCCCACCACGAACCCGTGTCAAAAATCACAAGCAAACGCCCGTGAGGCGCGTCGCGCCGTTGCCAGACGGAGACGGCACTCGGGGCTTCCTGTGGGTCCTCCATCCTTCGTCCGCCATCGCGCTGACGCACATACGGCGCACCTTTACCCGCGCTCGCTGCCGCTATCCTGTTTTCCCGCGCGGGGTGCCTCCACCGGAGCCGCGTCGCCGGTCGACATGGCCAGCGCCGACTCGGTGTGGCACGCGAGGACGAGGATGTGCCCGGGCGCCATCCAGATGATCGTCTCGGGCGCAGATGGCGATGTGTGGCACAAATGCCCGTTGGAAACGACGAGAGAGCGCAAGGTCAGGGGCGTATAAGAGCGCATGGCCAGGGGTGTATAAGAGCGCAGGGTCGGGGGTGTATAACGCTGTATAGATGGGTGTATAAATCTGTATAGATGGGTGTGTAATACTATACAGATGGGTGTAACGCTGTATAGACGGGTGTGTAACGCTGTATAGACGGGCGCATGGTTACAGTCGTATAGAATCGTATAGATGAGCTCATTATCAGTCTTATGCACAAGTCGTACAGACGGTCTTCTACACAGCAAGCGCCCGGGCACTCCAACACATTCCCTCGTCGCACTCGCTCTTCGCGCTGCGTCCTGCTCCCGGAATTCAGCGTCTTCTACCACGCTCTGTGCGATCCTCCCAGGCTTTCCGCCTCTGCAATCTAGCTGTCAGCGACGAGGCAAACATTCGTCTCGCTCACCTGCAGGAATACGCGTCTGCGGTCCTAAGCGCAGCCTTGTACATGTCGCGCCGGGCAGTGTCCTTGCCTCCCTCGCCTGCGAGCCGCTCGCACAGGATGAGGAGCAGCTCCTGGACAAGGTCGGCCGGGCGCACGCCCAGCAGGACACTCCACAGGAGGTTCAAGTACACGGCGAGGTCGATGCGTGCGCAGTCCTACGCAAGGCGCTCAAGAGCCGCGAGGGCCACGATGCCAAAGTGGGTGGCTGAGCAGACGACATTGACGTCTCCTCACCAATGTTCAGCGAATTGCCCGGGCACCCGCTCATCGCCGCTTCCGCGCGCGAGCGCACTCAAGCCCTGCCCGGGCTATTTATGCCCAAAAGCAGTCGGAAGTGGTTTGTGCGCGAGCTCACTTTCTTCTTCACAACTCACCTGCCACCGCCGTACGCCAGCAGAAGACAAAGACCGAGTCAGCATGCGAGCACGACGTGATGCGAGCAAGACCACGTACATTTGGTAGTGCAAATCACCCTTCCCCACGCACAGCACCACCACGTCCAGCACTGCCGTTCCCGCGCTCACCGTCAGGCCTGCCCGCTCCTCGGGCGACGCGACGCCGCGCACAGGAGCATCTATAAGTGGAGTTGGATCAGCGTTGGCGCATTCACGCGTATGAGCTGCGCTGCGTACAAGGGTGCGGGCATAGGTATGGGCACGTCCGCACCTGTGTCTGCATCCGCCTTGGCCTTGCCCGTGTCCTGTGGCCTTACCAGCATCCCCCTTAGCCTTTGGTGGGATGCGCCGCGTGAACATGGGTGTGGCGCGCTGCCGCCACTGGCGCCAGAGCTCGTCGCACAGACACGCATCTGCGGCCTCCTCCGCGAGGTCGAACACGGTCCTGAGTGCGGCCTTGTACACGTAGCACCGGGCAGCGCCCGCATCTACACCCTTGCCCGCCCGCAGAGCGCCACTCATGCAGAACAAGGAGCAGCTCCTGAACGAGGTCGGCCGGGCGCACACCCAGCGCGACGCTCCACAGGAGGCCGAAGTATGCTGCGAGGTCAATGCGCGCAAGGTCCTCTGCGAGCCGCTCGAGGGCTGCGAGGGCCGTGATCCTGAGGTGGGTAGCCGAGGGGATCACATTACGCATGATGAGCGTGGCGAGGGGCGCCATCATGTCCAGGAGGCATACCAGGCCCGCAGGCAGGTAGTGCTTGAGCACCGAGTACGTGAGCGCAGGGTGCTTCTGCATGCAGGCATCAATGTTGTCGAAAGGAACATCCTCCCTGTGCAGCAGGATGTCAAACGAAAGGAAGATGCGGACCTCTGCGCAGTGCTCAATCACGAGCTCGATGTACCTGCGGATGGTGGCATGTGGCTCGGCAAGGAGCAGGCGGGAGCATAGGCAGACAATGGAGTTGGAGGAGTGGAGTAGAAACATCACTCGGGAGACCGTAGCTACGAGTTTCCCATATACGCGGTTACACCCATGTCGGGTGTCTCCACGTTGCACGCTGATGTATCAACATACCGGAGATGCTTGTGTCCGTGCTGATCACATGCACACCCTCGCAACGTCGCAATAGGTAATATCAGAATGCTGGCATATGGGAATGTAGGTACTAGGTACGGAACAATCACTGTAATCATGTTCTCGTATTACTCCCAGT